AGAGTAAATGTTAATGAGAAACTGGTTTGTGCACCACCAGGAATGCTTCCTAACACACAAAGAAAAATTCTTCTGTCCTAATCTTGAGGATTAGGGCTGTGTCCTGACTGGACAACTCCAAGACAGGGAGAGAATCATCCTTCAGCCAGTTCGAGCTGTGTTGGCTATTTGCTCTGCCTAAATATTCTGATGATAGGATAGGTCAGGGGTCTGCAACCTTTTACACCCAAAGTGCCATTTGGAGCCGGTTTCCACGCAAAAGAAAACACTGGGAGCCGCAAATACTTTTTGACATCTAAAATGAAGATAACACTGTATATATTGTTTTTTACCTTTATGCTTTTTGTGAACAACTAAGGTGTGTTACTTATGAAATCCATGAAGACATGAAGACATTTTATTTATGTAATCAACACATTTTGAACTCTTAAAGAAATATAACAAAAGGAAAGACACCCAGCTGAACTAAAATGATCCATGTAGCAAACAAAAACTGTTGCCGCAGGTTGCCGACCCCTGGGATAGGTTAACCATTAATTCTTTTGAACCTCATGATTAACATTATCTCATTTTCTCACACTTAGTTCCTTCTGGTATTTCACATGCTAGGATTGCACATTAATGATCTCTGGTTACTGGCAGGCCTCCATTAGCTCAGTTGTTGTGAACTCCTTTGAAGTGCTTTCACAATTAGATCATTGGTTATTAACCCTATGATATAAAGTGTCTTAAGATGAATATTGTTGTGAGTTGGGGTTATGGCTTCGTAAAAAAGTCACAAAACATTAAAAAAAACAATAGAAAAAGTCTGAATACTTTTTTAAAAAAAACAGGTTTTAGTTTTCATTTCTTAGGAAATAATCACACACATGTTATGGTTAAAGCAGACACACATAGTTAAAACTGTAAAAAATATTTATTATCCATTATGCCACAACACAAAAGGCTGATTCTGCCACATACACTCACACGATAGCACAAACTCTTCTCATATCTCCTAAACAGTTGCTAGAAAACAGCAGCAGAAAGAAAAAGATCCACTTTTCAGAGAAACAACTATTCAGCTTTATTAGAGGAGGTTGCTCCATTGCTCCTCAGGTGGTAAAGAAAAAAGAAAAAAAAGTTTAAAATCTTCAAGATTTGCTACGTGGGATTTCATTCATACAGAAACTCCTCACAAAAAATATCTCCAAACTCCTAACTACAACAGACAGTTTGTTTTTAACACTGCCACGCCCACGGATGTTCGAGATAACAGGACATCTGTGAGTCGTACACCTTCAGTGCGCTTTATCGCATAGAGGCAGCTGTTGAGTTGTGCCAGCACAGGTCAATCATCGCTACGTGCACTGTTGTCTCTGCACAAAAGAAGGAACCTTGAATGAGTCTAACCTTTCAGACACTACTTTTTGTGTTTTAAGTTCCTGCGTGCAACAAAAGACAGACTGATTCTGCTTTCTAGCAAATATCAAAGCAGTTTTAAAATGTAATGTGCAGCAGTGTGACAAACATGGATGCTGGCTGTACTGGTGTTGCGAGGATGCTGCCTGGTCCTAATGTGTGAATGTGTTTCAGATCACCAAAGCAGGTTTTCTGGACGATGATGGGGCAGCACTTACTGCTAACTGTAAACCTGAGTTAACACACGCGAGGCAACAGCAGCAGGAAGTTTAAAGAGGAACAAGGAAAAAGAAGATTGTGGGCAGGCTGCATGAGGAGTTCGAAGCATTACCATCACGACATGTGGGGTTTTCCCACTGGGACTGGGACAGTTGTCAGAACCTGGTTCTGGAAAACAAATCTCTGGATGCGTTCAAAGACCCAGAGGAAGATGAGGAGGATGCTGACATATTGAATCCAGGCAAATTTGATGGTTTCCCAGAAGCCGGGGCGATAGGTGGAGTGAGAAGTCAAGGCAGAAACAATGACAAAAATTAGACACCACACCCCAAAATCAGGGGTGTCAAACATTAGAATCAGAATCAGCCCAACAAAGACTCCAGTCTGGGCCTCTGGACTGCTTTGGCAGATGTGAATGCAACGGCACACATTTTTAATTTTTAACTGTATTTTGGCATGGTTTACAGCTTCTGCTACTACTAATGACCTTTTTAAGGTCATTCACACTACACCAAATGCCATCCATCCATCCACTTCCGCTTATCCTTTTCAGGGTCGCGGGGGGCGCTGGAGCCTATCCCAGCTGTCATAGGGCGAGAGGCGGGGTACACCCTGGACAGGTCGCCAGTCTGTCGCAGGGCCAACACACAGGGACAGACAACCATTCGCACTCACATTCACTCGCACATTCACACCTAGTGGCAATTTGGATTATCCAATTAACCTATCCCCACAAGTTGCATGTCTTTGGACAGCATTTGGACATTTAATACACCAAATGAATTAAATAAAATACACAAACAATTAAATGACAGAAATATTTTTTCAGGATAATTACATGTTAGAACAATGAACTACCAGAACTTTTTCTTTTAACTTTTACACATCTGTTTCTCTACTGTGCAGAAAAATGACGTAAATGTAATGTTGTAATTGCACTTCTTATTCTTATATTAAGACATCTCCAGGATTAAATGTGCAGTTAAACCTCTGTACAGTGACAAAAAGGGGAGTCTAACACCTCTGGCCCACTTAACGTTGGAGCGTGGGCTGTATGTGGCCCACTGTATAATGTGACTGTATTATGTTACTATGCTGTTTCTTGTTTTTTTGCTGCTGGCCTCTGTGAGCTACCAAACAAATTTTGTTGTATAACTACAATGACAAAAAAGTTCTTTAAGTCACTTAAATGAGTTTAAGTCACTTTAATGGGTTTAAGTCGCTTAAGTCACTTTAATGAGTTTAAGTCACTTAAGTCACTTTGATGAGTTTAACATCCGTGCTCTAAATTTTCTGTACTCATGTTTTACAAGTTTCTGAATTTTACCTGACTTTTCTTTAACCCAAAGCCTCATAGCAAAGTTTAGCATGTGAATAAGTAAAGCACTGAATGGGACAAAGAAAATTACATCCCAGTCTCCTGACATAAAATGTTAACATCATGCAAACGGAGCTGAATTACCAACTAAATTAAAGCACTTAGTTAATTAAGCTCCTGCATGTTATTCTAACTCACCACATTCATTTTACTTACTTTTTCTGACGCAGTGATTTTGCAGAATTATTTTACAGTGCTTTGAACAACAAAGCTATGTGACGCCTGATTGAGTAAAGAGGAAATAATATTAGATTTTCCAGAGAATAAACATTCAGAGGTTTGCTGCTACAGCCTCCCTTTACCTCGAATGACTAACTTTCATGTCATGATGTTAGTTAATGTTTTCCAGTTTTATGCATGTACAGTACTGCTGTGGAAAACATGTCCAATAAAAGTCTACTTACATGAGATAAAGTTTACTCATAAACCTCTTTTTTATTATGAAATGTTTCTGGGCTTCTGGAGACATGGAGCTAACATATACTGACAGAAAGTTTACTTAAATTATTTATAATCATTTTTTACATTACGAGGTTTCACAAATGTCCAAATGAAGGATCGCCCCCAAATGAGTTCAAGGTTTTTATAGAGGTAGTGTTTGAGATCTCTCTTTATCGCTTCATGAATCAGAAAATACACAATGAAATCCATATTCTAAAGCCAAAAAGACCATGCGAATCATCACGATACAGGCAGGAATAAAACAGGAAACTCTGGTGTATGCAAATGATGAGTATGTCGGAGTGTAAGAAAACAACTGTTAAAGCTTTGTATTGGAAAATGACAGTAATTTACATACATGTGCATCACCAGAGGTGTAAAACAAGCACCTCAGTGTGTGTTCTGGACATTTCCTTTGTATTACCATCTCAAAAGCATGTCAGAGGACTGACAAGACTATATAAAATACCTCGGAAGCTCAAAATTGAGCAGTGCATGAAAAAAAACATGCTTTGCCTGCAGCGTCCCACCTTAAATAAACCTTATCCATAGAAAGTATTCAAAGATATATTTTTTTGAAGGTTACTCTATGTGAAAACAAACATGTCCATTTTAATGTATTTATCAAAAGGATATCTGATGACCTCCACAGGGTAGCGGATTTCAGCTTTAAGCTCAAAGGGAGCAGCAGCAGCTCGTCCTATAGTCCACACGGGGATCGGGCAGGACAGCACTGTGGTCACTGTGGCAGGAAAAAAACATATACACATTTGCAAAATTTGACTAAATTTACATCAAACCGAACAAGAGCAGCGCCTTTGTCAACTCACAGTTTCTGTTCTGGTAGCTCCTGATTATGTTCTCGAGGTCATACGCGCTCGCAAAAGGGCTGGAGCCATCGATCGCCGACACCTTAGCATCAACGCGGAGGAAGAGAAAACATAGCACATTAACATATAATCATCCCCCATAGCGTGTATTAACACTGACACTGCAAAGATACATGGTGTACTGCAAATATATTTTTATACGGGGTTATTTCGATGGCTAAAATCACTAGCTGAATTACTCTGATATTGAAGTAAACTTTAGATAAATACTTCAGGAGTATTTTATGCAGATTTGTTTTGTTTTATGTGGAGTTACATTTGCTGTGGATGTCTAAGTCACACATATTCTAAAAAATGACACCATATGGATACAAATTTGAGCAGGTGCTTCTCTGACACCATGTATACACCCAGTTTAAAAGCGCGTTCAGTCGGCCGTTACAGTGGTAGTGAGTGCTTAACAAACACACGCCTTTACAGAAGACAGAAAAGATAAGAAGCTACTGTTCTGCTGTGAATGACCCTTCTTGTAAAGCACGACACTTGGGATGTGGTTGGTGTGTTTAATTTAACATTAGCAAACATTGTTAGCAAACCAAACACATGCATACGACAATGACACTAACCACTGAAGCACGAACCTTTTGGATATCAGATCTTAAAGGTGCCTTTCTGCTCCGCTCCAGGCTCAGAATGTGGTAGCAAAGCACTCATCTACTCTAAAGGGTGTAGCGAGAGAAAAAGGTGGTGATCCCGTGTCCTCTTACATTATAAATATTGTAGAGCCCCCTGTGAGGCAAAGGCGTTCTCTGCTGCAGCCTCAGGTCTCCGCTGATGAACAGCTTAGCTCCGGGGACAGAAGAGGAGTGCTGCATGTATGCCAGACTCTGCATCACCACGGTGGACATCCGCTGGGAAAACAACAACAACAACAAATATTACGCTCTGCTTTAGCTGAACCACCAGCCATAGACGGTCCTGAAGGCCCTGCTTTGGTGCTGTCACACTGAAGGCCACATTTGATTATTTACAGCACTTTGAAATACCTGTTATTAAACAGGTAACATTTATTACCTGTCTGGAAAAATGTGTTTACACATGTAATAATTGGGGCCCGAGCACTAAAAGT